CGGGGGGAGGGGTGATTGGAGAGAGACTGATCCACTTCCAGCCGTTCAATGTGGTGATGTGAATGATAGATTTTGTTAAGATGGAAGCAGTGGGGCACAGAGTGTAGTAAAAGGTGTGTAGAATACATTACTCTGACTACATAGTGTGTGAGCCTGCATTCTCAGCTATGGAGCAGTGCTACAAATGGGAGACTGCAACCATACCTGGGCAGACTGAAGCCTCCAATGGAAAATGGATGGCAAGCATTGCTGATCAAGAAATCAATGCAAATAGATCAAGTGCTGTTCAGGCCTAAAACACCCTACTTTACATCTGCAGGTAAAGGCAGGGCTGCCAATGGATACAGTATAAACATTATATAGAGCTGCAATTAGAAATGGCTTGTCCATTAGCTCATTCCATAATGACCAACAGTGCAAGACAAGACTACAAACATGGCAATATATATAAAGTGCCATTTTTGTAGTCTCTTACATATATATATATCTATCTATAGATATATATATCTATAGATAGATATATTTATATGTAAGAGACTACAAAAATGGCACTTTATATATATTGCCATGTTTGTAGTCTTGTCTTGCACTGTTGGTCATTATGGTATATATTCAACCGCATTATGTTTTAAGAGGCCCATGGCTGTTATGTTATTCCCTTTATTACTTTGCTGTGTTGCTGATAGCTGCTTCATCACTAGTAGATTGGAAACCCTTCACCCACCCTTCCCTTTACCATGTGTCCTGCCAGAAAGCCCTGCAGTGCATTGCTGTGTAAGAGAAAGGGTTAAACGCAGCCCACTTGAAGGGGGATGAGGACTGTGTGCCAGGCAGAGTGAGGTAACAGTATGATTAGTATAGTGGTACACAGACCACCCAGCCCCTCCCCCACCACTCCCCTTTTCAATCACTGCAGGTCAGCAATCCAGCCTTACAACACAGTACACACATACGTACACAAAACACTAGACCAAACATGACATGTATGGTGGCTGAATATGCAGCATCGCTGGGAAATGCTTAAAAAATAAGCTGTACAAATATTGCATTTTATATTAGCACAATAAGAAGCTATGATCGATCCTGATGCATTTTCTGCTATTCCTCTTTGTACAGATTTTGTGTGAACTGGTAATTTTGTGTGTGTTTGTTGCTAACCCTGGCTGAGATAGGAACAGATTGCCAGCACACATGTCCACGCACATATACTAAAATACACACACTATACAGCGTATGCCAAGCACATACACACAGCACAACACACCATATGCAGGGTCCAGACCTTACATAGTTGCAGACACAAAATTTAGGCACATATGTTCACAAATGATTTGCAAACAACATACCCTTTACACCTCCTACACATATACTTATTGTCAAACTGCACACATTCGGAAATGGCCAGACAGCTTGGACCAGACTTGGTCAACCCTGGCTATACACTTGGGTATACACATAAATCCTACAGAGAGAGCTGAATATTACATAGCACAAAATGAAAAAAATGCAGTTACACATATACGAAAACACTCATGTGAGTGTAGGGTGTCCGAGAGAAAATGGCACAATACCCATACAACGCACATAAATACAGATCTAAAATCATACTTACTACAAATACCAAACCAATGTAAATCTCTGTAAGCTTAGACAAATTGAAAAGGTCATTAAAGCTCACGTACAGACATACATAACTCATACTACATAGTGGGATTAAAAGGCAAGATAAATCTGGCAATACAATATACTGTATATGTGTGTATATGTGTGTGTGTGTATATATATTTGTATTCCATAGGTACAAGTTGCAAATTGCTAAATTTGTTAAAATATTGGAATATTCAGGAATATTGTAAAAATATTTACTTGTTCCGCATTTGCATTAACGTTCACCATTGCACACACAAAGACTGGGTGCACAAATCACCAAAAAGCAGGTTTAGTACATAAAAACACTATATATATATAACATGCATACACACTAGTACATGTCTTCCTAGCATAATATCACCTACACAAGCCATCAAGACAGACACACAGTCTCCAACACAGGCTGTCAGCCTGTGGGACATTTTGGCCCTTCCTCCTCTGGAGCTGGGCTGTGATGGGACATGCTCTGAATTGCTAAGTGTCTCCATTGAGCGATGAGAACAGTTTGACGCATTAAACACGCATAGCGCATCCGCTGAGCCTCTCCTCAGCCAAGCCTGCCTCTTAACATAATCTGCAGAGGAACATTGTACTGAATAGAATATGCCATCCCTCCCCAGGCAGGAGAAAATCAATAGCTATGAATTCACCCTGATAGATCTGAGGCCCCCCTCCTCCTCCTCCTCTTCTTCTTCCCTCACTCCACAGCTTCCACCATCCACAACACCTCATTCTCACCTCCCCTCCTTCCAGGAAACCTTTTCAATTGATGCTCATATTTATTAGGTGTCCCCAAAGTGGCTAGTGGTTACAATTAAACATTGATAAGATGCTTGTAGGAATTTTGTTTAAGCAGCCAGCCAACCCATTAACCTTTTTGCATTGCTAGCGGTTTGGACAGCAGCTGCCTGGCAGTGAAATGGTTACACTTTTTTTTTGGATGGGTGATGGTGTTGAGGAGACAGATGGAACAGTGGGGTAGTCTGGTCAGGATACAGTTTTGGAATGATAGTCATTCGTGGGCTGAGAATGTGGATTTTTCAGCAGGTGTCTATACTTTAGGAGAGGAGTTAGTGGAGAGGAGAGGAGCATGCGCAACGTTCAGTTTAACTGCCTGGTTAAGAGAGGATTGTCTAATTTTCAAAGACTGCACAGGGTGTGTGTAGAGAGAGAGCGAGAGAGCACAAGGAAAGAGGAGGGTGAGGGAAAGAGGGGGAGGAGGGGGAAGGAGAAAGGGTGGGTGTGAGACAGGGGGAGGAAAAAAAAAAAAGAGGGAAAAGAGAAGACTGTTAGAGAGTGGGAGGACCAATGCAGAAGAGCGCGGAGAAGAGGAGAAATGGGGAGATGGAGCAGAAGTCCCACTTTTGTTTATTTATATCTCCATTCTGTACGGCATGACTGGGCCTGCACATCATAGAGCATCCCTAGTGCTAGACCTTCATATTAAATTAAGGTCACTGCACCCAGGCTCTTTGGCTATGAGCATCTGTACTTGTGCCGGCACTTTTATATCTGTATACTTGTGGTCAACCAAGTGAGCTACTGTAATTAATTGCAGATATGTATACACCAGTAAACTGACATGCTCAAAAAAGCCTGTATCTCATTTACAGACAAAACAAACAGAATGACTTAAATCATATGAAGTCATGGCATTGTCAGCACTTTGTAGACCACCCATAGACAGGCAGATCTCATAGGTAATTACTGAATTTGCCCATTCCTAAAGCTCTTGTGGAATGAAAACTAATGATGCTCCTGATGCATTCAATATTGTAAGCAGTAGGCAAAAAGATCTTCACTTATTGGGAAGGAAATAATTGTAGGTTGACCTCAGGAGATTTTCCAAAATGCTGGGAAATCTAAATCAACCCTGGCCGCCACATCAGGCACATACATACAATGCATAGTATTTGCAAATTGTGCTTAGATCACGTACATTATACTATATATTCATGTGGGCTATTGTAAAGTGAATGTCATAGCACCAGATGATATGGCTAACAGGTAACTCAACAATGGTCTCAGATTGGCTTTTCGGTTGAATAATTCAAAATATGCAGCAGCAAGGCTAAAGATGTTACAGACCTAGTAAGAAGTGGTTATAAGAGGGCTTGAATCATAGGCAAAGCAGAGGAGGCATGGTTGTAATAATTTACAGATGAAGGCTGAGATGTAAGGGGGTGAGCTTCACCGAGGGCTTTGAAGGTCAAAGAGAGAGCTTTGCATCTTATTCTCAGACACAGAAGATGCCAGTGTAGGTATTTGTATTATGCTGGTAGCTGCTGTATAAATGAGACTGCTGGCAGGGTTTTAGATTAATTGTGGTGCAGACAATGAATTGCAGAAGCAATCAAGGATGGATAAATTAATATCTTGATTTCATTTTATATGAACAACTGACAAATTGCATAAGTGGAGGCAGCAGGACTCTAAAGACTAAAGGTGAACATTAAATATGTTAAGGTCACCTCTAGGCATCAGACATTATGTACTGAAAGCGTACAGAGATCAGTGATTACATCTTTAAGTACCTCATTGTTTTGAGGTTTCATACGTGCCAGAAAGCAGCCTGTTTGTTATATTAGTCTATATGCATTCCAGTGTTGGTAAGACACTGTAAACAGAGAAGGAAGACCTTGTGACAGATGTCACAGCAGTGACAGCTATAAATTATAAAGCAGTTTATCTTTTTCATTCTCATTTATTTTAAAAACCCAACATAGACTAAAAGGTTTCCAAGAAAAATGGAGATCTCCTCTTTAAATGGGACTATTTCCTTTAGAAAACAGGGGTCCTGATCTCCCACAATCCCTCTGTAGACAACCGCAAGACTTCATCTTACAGTAGAGCAAACCTGTGAACAACACATTGAATCGTTTTATTATTCATAGGTACTTAGTAGAATCTCATTTATTAATGTCCTTGGC